TCCTCTCCTCTCCTCTCCTCTCCTCTCCTCTCCTCTCCTCTCCTTTCCCCCTCCCCTCTTCACAGAAGACATCAGAGATGATGCTTTGTGGGATTGCTTTTTCAGCCTAGGTTATTGCTGAATAGCAGGAATAGGCTGAGAAATGAGACCTACCCAATATGAAAAAGTGTTTTGGTAAAGTCCCGGGGTGGGCTGAAGGATAAACTTCCTTTTCCTTAGCAAATGAGCTGCTTGCACCCACAGCAAAAATAATACAGAGGTATCTGTGACAGATTGAATGGAGAAAAAAACAGGGCAACAAGGAATTGTCCTGGAGGCCATCGTACCCCCCAGGGCACCCAGGAGGAGGGAGTTGTGCTGAAGGTTCTCCGAGTCATCAGTATTTGGGAGTGGGATGGTGACAGTGGGGACTTCCTCACCACTGGGCTCAGGGGGCCAGGAGGAAAGTGGGGAGAGCTGAGCATCCCCTGCTGCCAGAGCGGTGCTCTCCTCTCCTAAAATGGAATCAGCCTTCAGAAGTTCCCTCGCCATTGTTCGGTGTGGAATCAGCTGCCCCAAACCTTGTTAGTCTGTGGCTTTCATAAGGACAAAACCACGGAGCCTTTGATTTCTCCTACCTTTGTGCTGGCAGCCCGGGCTCTGGGCGTTCTCTCTTTCATTAAAGACACTCAGCCTCTTCCTTGCTTTGATTCTGGCTGTATTTTGTGGCCGCAATCCTCTGCAGCAGGCAGTTCTGTGGATTAATTAAGGCTTGGGTTACTGATTTATTTTATTTTTAAGCAGTGCTGTCTGTTGCCTTAGATTTGCATGATGTGAAAGAGGAAGCGAAAGCCCCGGCCAGTCTCCTTTGTGCCACTCAGCCTTTTGTCCCCCTCCCTCTCTCCAATCTGAAGAGCACCCCTAATCTCTGCACAACTTTCTTTCTCTGAAAACCCTCTGCTCGTTTTTGTCACCCCTTGCAGGATCTTTTTGTCACGAGGCTCCATGCTCGATCAGGAGAGCATTGGCGGCTTTCTCGGCGTATAAATTTCATTTCTCTGTTTATCATCCTTAAAAATACTTCTAATAGTTTTGAGAAAGATCCCAAAGCCCAGGAAGCTGTCAGGCCATTTTCCAAGAAGAACAAAAATCTTCCAGCTTCTAACGATGCGTGAACACAGCATGGCCAAGCATTGCATCAGCTAGGAAATGGCGAAGGTCAGAACCAGCTCTCCTCCAGGCAGCCCTGCACAGGGTGTCTGTCCTCCACATGAGCGACCTTGAGATCAATACAGTTTAGCATAACAGAATCACAGAGCGATTCACTCAGGCTGGAAAAGACCTCCAAGATCCCCAGCCCATCCCAAGCACAGATAAAGGTCGGGTGGAGAATGGCTTGAGAGCAGCCTTGAGGAGAAGGATTTGGGGGTGTTGGTGGATTAAAAACTGGCCAGGCTGGATGGGGTTGTGAGCAACCTGGGCTAGAGGTGCTCTTTCCTACAGCAGGGCGCTGGGTCTGGGTGATCTTCAAAGTCCCTTCCAACCCAAAGCATTCTATGATTCCATGATTCTGTCCCACCATGCCCACTCACTGTATCCCTCAGTGCCACCCGTTCACAGCTCTGGATCCCCTGCAGAGGTGGAGACCCCACCACCTCCCTGGGCAGCCCATTCCCCATTGAAGAGATCCCAGCACGTTTTGAGGTTAGTCCCATAGGGATGATGGATGCTGTCACGGACTCTGCTGTGCACGGATCAGCAGCATGGGGCAAGGGTTGCTCAGAGCACAAGTGCTGCTTCCAACCCCACAAAGACCAGATCTCCCAACCTTATCTCTCATAGAGAAGGCTGCAGTCCTGGTTTGGACCTTTCTGAAGTGTAGAAGCCTGAAAATGCTGCGTAGACAACTTTGGAAGACAGGCACAGGCTCAGCACCTTCCAGTATCCATCCCTGTGTCACTCAGAGATGGGGAAATGACCTAAAGGAGAAAATCAAGAACTTATTTCAGAGACAACTGATGCAAAATCAGCTCTGAAAAATGTTCCATCAGTGTGTATGTTGTGGAGGGGCTGCGTTCTCATCTGTGCTAAATGGAACGGAGTTCAGGAGACGCTGCGGTGCAGTGGCTGAGTCAAAACCAGTCATCTGTGTCAGTACAAAGAGCATTTGCTCAAATTGAATCAGCTGCTGTCATCCAGGAGGCTGGAAATAACCCAGCCACAGAAATGAACGTGTTGTCGGGGTTCACGCCATCCATCAGCCACGTTGGGATCAGAAGGGATCAGCTTTCCTTTTAACATCTGTGATTCTGGAAGCATCCAACTCGTTGGCAATGAATTTTCAAGCAGTTTGGGATGTCAAGCCCTTTGTAGGCCCTCTGCAGAGATGCTTGCAGCAGAACTGCTGCTCCCGAGTGCATCCCCTCAGCCAGCAAGGTGCTTCCATTCAGAGCTGGGTGGTGGACGTATGTGTTGGCCAGAATCCTTTAGGAATATGTGAGAAACAGCCATCACAAACCCAAGTTTAATCTACTTGGATATCTGAAACTCTTTCTGTAGGTTAACCATGCAAACGTTGCCCCTTGACACTGTTTAATAGAGATTTTGAGGGGTGTGAGAGCATCCTCTGTTTGTGGCTTACGAGCTTGCAGGGTTACTGCTGGAAGAGCATCAGTCATGAAGAAAACTGTTCCATGCAAGCACAGCAGTCCTCTTCTCAGGTCCTTCTAGAGATGTCCCTGGGATGATCTTTCTCTGGATAGGTGGCCCAAACCTTATAGGTTTTGTTTGACTTCCATGTGAAGTCATAGAGTGCCACAGGAAGGTGGGGAGCGCCCTCTGCTCCTGCCCACCCCAAATGAAGCACATGTGGTGGTGGTAATGTTCAAAGGCTGCTTTTCAAATGCTCCTCAAGTGCCATCTGCTTTAGCCTTCCATACCCCACGTACCCATGTGACGGTCACCAACACCAAGCTGGATGCTGGTAGTGTTTGATGCCTGTTGTTGACCTCATGGTTCCCATGCAAACAGCATTGGGACCCGTGTGGATGAAAGGATTTTAGCACTCTAGACTTCTGAGTGCTCCATGTGGAGACCTGGAGAGGGCTTTGGGAGGGGCTGGGGTCCCACAGTGCCTCCAGATGCAACAGCAGCAGGGACAGAATTGGAAATGACTGGAACCAGTCTTGATTGCTCAAGGATCACTTCCTCCGAGGTCAAGATGAGTGCATCTGTAAGAGGATGAAATCAGGCAAAGGTGGCAGGAGGTCTGCATGGATGAGCAAAGAGCTCATGGGAAAATTCAAAAGCCCATGGAACGTGAAGAAGGGATCTGGCTGCTTGGGAGGAATATCAGAATGCTGTCAGGGCCTACAGGGATGCTGCAAGAAAGGCTGGAGCCCATCTGGAATTAAATGTGTTGAGGGAAGTCAAGGGCAACAAGAAAGACTTCTTTAGGTGTGTCTTAAAGGAGGACTGGGGGAAACGTGGGTCTGCTGCTGAATGAGCTGAGTGCCCTGCTAACAGGACACTGAGGGTGGGCTTTCTGAATGCCTTCTTTGCTTCAGTCTTTAGTGATGAGACTGTCCCTCGAGAATCCCAAACCCTGGAGGGGTCAGAGGTTGTCTAAGGGAACATGATGCACCCAAATCCATGGGCCCTGATGGGATGCACCCACATGTGCTGAGCTGGCAGAAGTGACTGCCAAGCCACCCTCTGTCACCTTTGAGAGGTCATGGAGAACAGGAGAGGTGCCTGAAGGCTGGAGGATAGCCAGCATTATACTAGTCTTCAAAAAGGGCAACTGCAGGCAGCCAGGCTCACCTCCATCCCTGGGAAGGTGATGGAACAGCTTGTTCTGGGTACCATCTCTGAGGAACTGGGGGAGAAAAAGGTTATCAGGAGTAGTCAGCGTGGGTTCACCAGGGAGAAACCATCCTCAACCAACCTGATGCCTTCTATGGCTGGATAGATGGGGGGACAGTACCGAAATAATTCCTTTCAAGCTTGTCAAACCGAGCACTTAAAATCACTGTGTGCAGTTTTAGAGAAAAAAACCCAATGATGTATGTCTCCATTAAGCTGGTTCCTTCCCAGGCAGTCTGCCTTCCCGACTTGCTCGCCTGGTTTCAGCTCTCCTCATCAGTGCCTGCTTTTCGTTTTGCTGAAAGTAGGCCATGCACTTTTCTCTTTTGCTGTGCCCATTAATAATGCAGCAGAGAATAATGCTCCGTGTCCATTGCTGCAGTGCCTGCACTGAGCAGAATGGATGTTTCTAGCAGCAGCCCCCAAGGTGGGGGTCAGTAGGGTTGTGCTGTGGCATAGGATGGGGGCTGTGAGCCCTCTGTGCTGCTGCATCCTCCCTGCAGGAAGCATTGCTGTGCAGTGCATCGGTCCTTTCCCTGCAGTCGTTGGCAAGAGACTAAAACAAATCCAGAAGATGCTGGGAGGAGATAGACCTGCAAAGATGTTAGATAGTCATGACTAGATTGAAACCTCTGTGGGCGATAGCTTCGTGCACAGGAGATACTGCTGTTCCTGGATGCCTCTCCAGTTCATCTTTTGTGCAGTTTTAAGTGATGGATTCTCCGTGGTGATTCAGTGTGAGGGACATCAAGCTGCAAGTTCCTGGCCAGCTCAGCCCCAGATTGCCGTGACTGTTTGGTGGATCCAGCATGGAGAGAGGAATTGGCTGAGGAAGGGTCCGTAGACCATCTGAATGGATCTCATGGTGAATGAGTCTCATCAGCCTTGGATGTGCGGTCGGGTGGTGAAAGTGAATCTGATTTTGAATGTTAAGAACCGTTGATCGTGGAATCATTGAGGTTGGCTGAGACCACTGAGGTCATCAAGTCCAACTGTGGACCCAGCACCCCGTGCCCATGGCAGCCTGTAGGACCAAGCAGGGTCATTCCCTCGGGTTTCATCCCCTTTTTGTGTGCACACAGAGGGGCAGAGCTGGCGTAGTGCTGTGGCTCTGGAGGCCGTGGGGAGCTCAATGCAGAGAGCCTGGCTGCTAAGCTTGCAATAAAAATTAGGACAGCTCCATAGTTTCAGAAGAAAAATGAACAGGAAAATACCCATTAAGCCTTTCCTAGAGGCAGTGTCTCTGTTAGGGATCTGCTTGCTCCATAGATGTGCTTTAATGTAATATGTAATGGCAGCCCTTGCATCATAGCGTGGTAGAATATCCCAAGGATGCAGAGAAAACTACCCCAATCCATGCTTCTACCAGCTCTCCTTCCAGAGTTTCCAAAGACCCCGTTGATGGGTTGGGATGCTCATAGCATCAGTACCCACCACATGGGACTAGAATGCAAATAAAATGCCTTGTACCCCTCTCACTGGGGTTTCCAGCTGAGAAGCATGAGGGATGGCGGTTCCTTGTCCCCGTGCATAGGGACTCACCCAATCCTGCCTTGTGCTGCATCTTGTGTTGCCTTGCTTCAGTGCTTCTTATGCACATAGACACACTGTCACATATCTGTTGGCTAGAAGTCATGATTCAGCATGTTTATTGCATCAAACCATTAAGCTGCTGCTCTGAAAAGCCATAAGTCCCCAGAGATGTCCCCAGGGATGTCCTCAAAGCCACCTGTGTTGGCTGTGTCCCCCGTGTAGGTCTTCAGACTGGTCTCTTGGCTCAGGAGAGTGGTCACTTCTGTGGGGTTTAGTGGGGAGGTGATGGGTTTTGTGGAGAAGGTGATGGGTTTTGTGGAGGGGGTGATGGATTTTGTGGAGGAGGTGATGGGTTTTGTGGAGGGGGTGATGGATTTTGTGGAGGAGGTGATGGGTTTTGTGGAAGAGGTGATGGGTTTTGTGGAAGAGGTGATGGGTTTTATGGAGGAGGTGGTGGGTTTTGTGGAAGAGGT